TATTTTTTTTTTTTTTTTGGCCGCATGCCATGTGGGAACTTAGTTTCCTGACCAGGGATCGAACCCACGTCCCTTGCATTGGAAGCTTGGAGTCTTGACCACTGGACCACCAGGGAAGTCCCTCTAACGTCCTTCTTTATAAGATGGGAATAATCCCACCTGCCCTCATAGGACATTGTAAGGATTGAGATAATACATGTAAAATAGCTTAGCACAGTATTAGAAACCTAATAAAGTGCAAAATAAATATTAAGATGACTAAAAGTGCTTAAGTTGTCTAATATAAAAATCATATTTTTATGTTATTTTAATTATGTTAATTAACTACATTAATTTCACAAATATAAAATTGACAAAGGCTAAAGGGGTTGGGCCTTCCTAGAGTTTTGGATTAGGAATCTGTAACCCAGCTTCCCTCAAGGTCAACTTCCCTAAAATCAGAACAGACAACTGTTTAATGGGTGGAAATGCCCACTCCCAGCTCCTACATGCATACTTCCCCAGTCCAGCCTTGCAACCTCACTTCAGAGCCCTGACATCCGACTCTGGCTAACCGGTGCCTAAGTGCCCGAAGTAAAGGGGCATACCAGATGTCTGGGGGGTCGGTGGAGGATCTTCGCAAGGCAAGAACACGTCAGCTCCGTCCTGATCCCCAAGGTCGATAAGTTCCACTTGCTCAAGTGTGTCCACATTCACCTCCATGGATGAGATACTACCTATGGGGGCTGCAGATCAAGAAGGGGGCAAGTCAGGAGAAGCCAGGCCAGAGCTGACAGGATGGTCAGAGACATATGTCAGGTCTGGAGATAAGACGTTTAGAGGGCCAAGAAAACCAGGGGGGAGGTATCAAGATTCAGGACCTATAGGACTTCCTCCCTGCCCCACCCTAGTCCCTCTCCCCAGGATTCAGAACTTACGTCTGTGCGACTCGAGATGCAGGTGGGACAGGGGGAAGACAAACTCTGTCTCAGGCTGTAAAATGTCCTCAAAGAATTTCTGCCGCTCCCGAAGGCGGAGCTGCTGGCGCTCCAGGGCTGCCCGCGGATTTGGGTCCATGTCAGCTCCTGGAAGAGCAAGTACAGCTATGAAGTTGAGAGGGGATTCCGTGGGGGCCTGGGCTTGGGGAGCCCCCCTGCAGCCAGCATCCCAGCACTGGGGCCTCTGGACTTGACTACCTCCTCCCCTTTCCTAAAACAAAGTCCATTACCACAAACTTCAAGTCTCACGCAGAGGCGGGGCTGACCCTAGCTCCACAAAGGGGATGCCAGTTCCAGGCACAGCAAAAGAGGCTCCACTGTATTCAGGGAACGCAGTCAATGGCCAAGTTTCAGCATCATGCCCTTCGGAGAGGGGTTGGAAGGGCTGGTTCAGCTCAAATGGGGGAGGCACGTTTTCCGCTCAATGGACCCAGCCTCTCCTCAGAAGGCTGGGGAAGAGGACAGAGAAAAAGGTCCCTTCCTCCAGGCTGCAGCTCTGGTTCCTGGCCATTCTTCAAAACCCAGACGAAAGCTAAAGTACCCCCTCCCCTACTCTCCCTCTCTACACACACACACACACACACACACACACACGCACGCACGCACACACACACACACCCCCACCACCAGCATCCCCTCCAAATCCTGCTCTTTAATCACAGACGTGACTTCTAGGCTTGGCTCTGCCCCTAAGGAAGTCAGCTTTCCAGCCTCAGTCTCCACATCTGAAAATGGCATCATCCTCCTACCTGCCTCCAGCACAAGACACAGGCGGTGAAGGTGCTCTGCAAAACGGAAAGCTCTGGTCCCCGTGCTATTTAGAGGACACCATCTCTGCTCTGCCCCCCACAGCTCTTTCTTTGAGCTCCTCTCCTCTGACACATCTCAATGTCTGCTCTCCCCACTAGGCATCGAGTAGCAATCGGAAGGGTGCATTTCAGACCAGGCCTTCCGGCCCCCAGTGCTGAGAGCTTTCCAGAACGCCATTCACTCGGATGCGCTCCATTCCGTTCCTGAGCCCATCACCGGAGGCAAGGGAGTATCAAGCTTGAGGACCAGGTCATCATCCTCCGCCTACTGCCTTCCCCACCTCATCTGCACTCGGCATATCTGAGACCCTGGCCGGCTCCACCGGCGCTGCGGTGGGCCGCGAGAGACCCAAACCCAAGTGGGCCAGGCAGGGCCAAGGAAGTGTGGGGAGACCATGTGGCCGGGGCTGGGAGCGGAGGAGGGAGGCGCTGACGCCGATTCCTGGGAAAGGCTCTTAGCGCTGCCGCCCAGGTCACAATACTAAAAATACCCAGGGCCTCTGGGGCTGTCTGGGGGCGGGGAAGGGCGACAAAGAGGGTCGGGGTCGGGGAGCTGGAGGGGACCACGGGCTCCGGGACGCCCCCTCTCTTTCCCCCTCACCCCATCAACCTCAGGAAACTGGAGGGGCTGCCCCCTGGGGAGGTGCGGAGCTAAGCGCTGGGGAGAGGAAGGGGGCTGTTTACATAACTGAAGGTGCAGGGGAGAAGGGTGGAGAGAGCTGTAGAGATTTGGGTGGCCGGAGGCGGCCAGGGGCCCGGCCAGTGGAATGGAGCGCTCCCTCTTCGTCCTGCCCCACCCGCACTGGAGTCAGCGAGAGCGAAAGAATTCCCTAAAAGGGGACACGCCGCGACCGCGGGGGAAGGGGGGGAAGGCGGAGGGGTCCCCCGGCCGTTCCGCTCGCGCTCCGGTCCCCCCGGCCTCCCGCTGCACCTGCGCCCGCCCAGCGGAGCCCCTACCTGCCGCGCCCAGAGCCCCCGCTGACTCAGGCTGTCCGCTGCGGCGCGACGGCGGTGGGGGCGTGGTACCGGGCAGCGCCGGCCGGGGTGGGGCCGCGCCTCCGGGTCTCCCCCGGGACGGACTGGCCCTGGGAGCCGGGAACGAGGAAGCGGCGGGAGGCGGAAGTGGGGGAGGGGCGGCGGCGGGCACACACGCTTCTGCCGGTCGCCCGGCGGCCGCAAGGAGCCCCTGCGGGCGCGATCGTTCGCAGTTCCAGGGCGGGCAAAAAGTTCCCGGCACGCATCCCTCCTCCCCGCGACCCGTCGGGCCCCTCGGCGCTCCGCCCGGCTCCGCGCGCTCCCATACGCGGGCTCTCAGCCCCTGCTCCCGGCTGCTCCCCGACTCCCGGGCAGCCCCGACGCAAGCTCCACGCGCCGGCACCCGGACTCCCCAGCACCCTCGGCCACGTTCGGCACGCTTAGACGCACACCCCTCGAGAAGGCGTATGCAGGGTCAGAGGGGCTGGGGACTCGCTGCCGCCCATCAGGGCAGGTGCACTGCGGCGGAGGCCCCTCCGACCCTGGGACTCACCCCGCAGCCCCCGGTTCCCGGCTCCGGGATGGGCAGAGCCGCCGTCCAGCCTTCCAGCGCACTGGGCGGGGTGGGCGCGGGGACGGGGCGGGGCGGGGTGGGGGGGTGGACGCCGGCGGGGAGCCAACTCCTCCGGGGTGCCAAGAGGGGCGCTGCGCGTCCCGCCTGGCGGGGGTGGAGGAGCGAAGCGGAAACTGCGGGCCCAGAGGGGAAACGCTTGCCCCTCTCGCAGTGCCTCCTGGCTCAGACCAGGGCCACAAGTCTCCTGGACCGAGGCACCGTGCTCATTCTCCTCCTCCTCCCTTCCACCCTGTGCCCGTACGTAGCTCCAGAAACCGCGGGGTGGCAGGGTAGGGGGGCGTCTGTCGGAGATGCTTCTGCCGTGGGGTCACGCGATCATTCATTCAACAAACATCCACGAGCAAGCCAGAAACTAGGAGTCATCCTTGGCATCTCCCTGTCTTTCAATGCCCACATTAAAACACATCTCCATTAACTGTCGATTCTCCTTCCTAAATATCTTTCCCATCCGCCGCTCCTCTCCGTTTCCACCACCATCTCTCCCTTGGCTCCTACGGAAACCTTCTCTCTGGTTTTCTTGTACTCTGGTCCTGCGGTGCTCCATCCCCACAGCAGTTAGTCGTCACTGTAGAATCGAGAGTGCTAACCATGGAACCCCACATCAGTCATTTCAAAAACGCAGGTCCGATGTGCCACCCCCTGCTTAAATCCCTCCTTTGTTAGAATGAAATCCGGGTGCTGATATCTGAGCTGAGTCTTAAAGAAATGAGTTCAACAAGCAGAGAAGAGGGGGAAGGGCATGCACAGAGGGACAGAGGTGTGAAAAGTCCGGACATATTCAGGCTTCCCTGTCAGGAGACCAGCACTCAGTACAAATACCTAAAGCTCTGCCTCTTCTATTGTTACTGAGATCCCTAAACAATCCTGTGAGGTAAGTACAGCAAGCAGCTTTCCCATTATTTTACAAGCAAGGAAACCAGTTTGTGGGAGGCAAAAAGTGCAGTGGTTAGGAGCACAGGCCTGGGAGTCTCCTAGCAGTTTTAAGTAAGAGAATATCTATCTTATAGGTTAAGGATGTGGGCTTTGGACCTGAATTCCTTGGGTGGTAAACCTAGCTCTGGTGTCTAGCCAGCTGTGTAAACAATTTCTCTGATCCTTGATTTCTTTGGCTACTAGGTAGGAATAATTAATCCCCGCCTCCTATGAGATAATTCATATAAAATGCTTAGCACAGGACTTGGGCGCTCTGGAGATGCTCAGTAAACAATAAACACTAGTTGTTTTGACTGTAATCGATTCTGAGAAAGGGAGGAAACTGCTTTCTTCCATGAATTTCTGAAATTATAGGAAGTAGGCTCTAACCTTCTACAGAGCTTATTATGTGCCTGTCACTGTTCTAAGTGCTTTGCATGTATTAACTCTTTTAATCCTCTTAATAATCCTGTGAGGTAAATACTATTTTTACTTCCATTTTACAGATACAGAAACTGAGATATAGAGAGGTGAAGGAACTTGTCCAAGGCCTTACAGCAACTAAGTGATGGAGCGGAAATTCAAACCCAAGTAGGCTGCTTCCAGAGACTGTGCTTATAACCATGGCTCCCAGCCTGCTCCGCTTTTATCCCGTTGCAGCTTTCATCTTCCGAGAAATGTTTTGGTCAGTCTGATTCTTATTCCTCATTAATGGATGGAGTAGATACTTGGTCCCGTTTTCTAGCACAGAGGAATGAGGCCAAGTCAAAAGTACAGTGGATGAGAGCTCAGCTCCCAAAGTCACCTCCCCCCTTTTCAGGCCTATCCCTGGGAACAGGACTGCATGGATTATTTTGAGCCGTCCCCAAGATGGTGACAGATCAGGAACCTCTCTGTCCCTTTGCCAGATATTTGCCACATACAAGGGTGGAAGGGGAAAAAGCATCCAAGTTAGAAATAATTCACAGGGCTAAGCTGGAAGGGTATTAGCCAAGAGAGAGGCCCAGGCAGCAGACCCAAGGGTGGATGGCAAAAGGGGTTGAAAGGATCAGTGAAAAAGTAGATGGCTTAGACTTCTGGGTTCCATCTAGGATGCCAAAGCTGGGAAGAGCATCATTACCACACTAATAATTTTTTTAAACTGTTAGGTAATTATAAAATTATTACTTTCGTCAAACCCAGCAGTGAGCTAAGGCTGCAGAGCAACCAATTAACCTGAATTCCAAAGGACAGGCACCTCCAAGAAGAAATAGGATGTAGGCACGGCACACCTCTGAAGTAGGAGGAAGGCAAGGTTTCTGTGCAAACAGGTAAGAAGAGTTCAGCTACACTTTTTATTGCTAAAGGCCAGGTGTGGCTAGCATGAGAGTATAGAATCCTTGGGAGTCACAGACACTAAAAGTAATCATAGAAACAACAAAACCAAACTTTGTTCAACTCCTGACAAGATTGGCTCAATTCTCAACACTAATGGCCTAAGAAAAGAAGAGATATGACAATTTCCAGGCAAAAATCATATTGACCTCAGCCTCTACTGTTCTACACATTATGTCCAGGAATCAAAAATTACAACACGCACATCAAAAGCAGTTTAAGAAAAACAAAAAAACCCTATTGTCAAGAGACAAAGCAATCAACAGAACCAGATAACTCTCTGGAGTTAACCTGCCAGAAAATTTAAAACAACTATAACAATATGTGAAAGGCTCTGTTGGAAAATATGGACAACATGCATAAACAGAAGGGGAGTTTTAGCAGAGAGATGGGGACTATAAAAAGGAGTCATATGGAAAATGCTAGAAATTTTAAAAACCTGTAACAGAGATGAAGAATGCCTTTGACAGCCTCATCAGTAAACTCAACACAGCTGAGGAAAGAATCAGTGAACTTGAAGATAGGTCAACAGAGACTACCCAAACTGAAACAGAAAAGAGAAAAAAAAGAGTGAAACAAAACAGAACAAAAACCCCAGAAGGTCCAAAGCTAACATGTGCATAATTTGAATCCCAGAAAGAGAAGAGATAGAGATAGGAACACACACACACACACACACACACACACACACACACACACACATTTGTAGAAATAATGGTCAACAATTTTCCAAAAATAATGAAAGAACCACAGAGCAAAGAAAATCATAGAATCAAAAAAAAAACCATTAAATACCAACAGACACACACACACACACACACACACACACACAATATGATCTATCATATTCAAACTGTTGAAAACCCAAGATAAAGAGAAAATCTTGAAGGCATCAAGAGGAAAATGACACAGTACCTACAGAGGAACAAAGATAAGAATTACAGCAGATTTCTCATTAAAGAAGAAATTATATGACTAGAAGATAATAGAATGATATCTTTAAAATGCTGGAAGAAAAAAAAGACTGTCAACTTGCAATTCTATACTCAGCAAGAAACTCTCTCAAACATGAAGGTGATATAATAATTCTTTTCAGATGATCAGAAACAGAAAATTCATTACCAGCAGATCAGCATTACAAAAAATGGTAGAAGTTCTCGAGGCAGAAAGAATATGATACCAGAGAAAAACCTGGACCTACATAAAGAAATGAAGATCTCCAGAAATGGATGGAATAAAGGTAAATATGAGACTTTTGTTTTTTAATCATCTTAAAAGATAACTGGGCTTCCCTGGTGGCACAGTGGTTAGGAATCTGCCTGCCAATGCAGGGGACACAGGTTCGAGCCCTGGTCCCAGAAGATACCACATGCCGTGGAGCAACTAAGCCCGTATGCCACAACTACTGAGCCTGCGAGCCACAACTACTGAAGCCTGCTTGCCACAACTACTGAAGCCCGCGTGCCTAGAGCCCATGCTCTGCAACAAAGAAGCCATCGCAATGAGAAGCCTGCGCACCACAACAAAGAGTGGCCCCCACTTGCCGCAACTAGAGAAAGCCCGCAGGCAGCAACGAAGACCCAACGCAGACAAAAATAAAATAAATTTTAAAAATAAATAAATTTATTAAAAAAAAAGATAAGTGTCTAAAGCAAAAGAGTAGCAATACATGGTGGATGTAGAGCACATATTAAAGTAAAATGTATGACAATCACAGTAGTAAAAATGATGGGAATTGAAAACACTGTGAAAGAGTCCTTCTGCTATATAAGAAGTGGTATAATATTATTTGAAGATTGACTATGACTAATTGAAGATATATATTGTAAATGCAAGGGCAACCCACTAAAAAAATGCTTAAAGAGGTATAGATAACAAGCCAATAGTGGAGACAAAATAGAGTCATAAAAGTACTGGGAGGCATGCTCCCTGGGCCTCTTTGTGTTCAACATGTCAAGATTGCAAGGATCTGACTTCTCTTTCACCTGGGCCCTTGCTCAGTATTAATACAGCTGGCAGCTCTGAGAAATAAGACCAGGTCTTTCTCAGACAAAGGCAGGCTTGCTGACTGCTCGCTATAAAAGTGCTGGGCCTGGGTTCCTCAGCCATGATGCAAAGCCACTGTGTGTGTACCGTGCATCTGGGACTGCTGTATCACTTGTTGAACTTCGGGCTGAAGGAATCAACACAAAACTATGCTGATGTTCATGTTGTTTGATGTTCTATGAGTAATAAACTGTCTTGATTGGATGCAGTAAGTCTTATTGTCTCTTTTTGGTACCCATGAGGTTTTATCTCTGACAAAGCATAATCAATTAATCCAAAGTAAGGGGGGAAAAAGAGGAAAAACAAAAAAAAAGCACAGATGAAAAAATAGAAAACAAATAGTGTGATGGAAGATTTTCATCCAATTGTGTGAATGAACAGCAACCAATTAAAAGACAGGTTAGTAGACTGGGGAAAAAAAAAGCAAGAGGCAATAATATGCTGTCTACAAGAAACCCAGTTTAACTATAAGGATATATA